GGCCGGTGGGTGCCGCCGCGGGCGGGCGGCGGCGGCGGGGCCGGTTAGCTACGGCGTGCAGAGCGGGCGGGTTTGCAGCTGCGAGGCGCCGAGTGCCGCAGAGGATGTGTTCCATGCGCTGGAGCAGGGCGCTCAGAACGGAATGCAGGCTTGCCAGAGGCTTGTGCGGCAGGAGCCGTGAGCTCTCGCCCTGCCCGCAGAGCAGCGCTGGGCTCCGCGGCGCTCTCAGACGATGCTGTGGTTAGTCACGCTGTTTGAGGGAGAAGAGGGAACAAGAGCCCAGACACACAGCTGTGTGCAGCTACTCAAAACTAGCTGCAAGAGCATTATGTCAGCTCATGCATGAAAGTTTTCTTAAGCATCTTAAGCTACTGCCTGGGGCAGGAAGATGCTCCCAACAGATGCAATCACAGGTCTGGTCTTTTACAGCAGCATCTGGTTTTACCCCCAATCTGCCACAGATAAATTATGCCTTTATACAATTTTTTCCTTGGAAGGTATGAGCATATCTAGATTTGACTTCTTCCTCCTTTGCATGCACACTCTTTACTTTCCCTTGAGAATATGCTTTGATTCAACATAGAAACTGGTATTTAGAAACAAGGATGGTCCCCACCTCTCTCTTCCCCTCGGTGCAACTTCATTCTGTTAAGAGATCTGAGCTCTGCTGAAAACAAGTTCTCACTACCTGAGCATATGCAAAACATTGGCACTGAAATGAGCCTCGGTAAGAAAACAGCTGTTACCCAAGTTTAACACCCTGCAACTTATTTCCATGAGGAAATACTACCAGTATTTTTCAGGCAACTCCTTCCAGAGCTCAGTGAGAATCAGGACAAAGGAACTCTTACCCCTCCACACTTCCCTGGACAGCACTGAGAGCCCTGGTTTCCTTAGGATGGCATTTTTAAGCATAATGAATTTATTTGATGCTTTATCTGCTTCTTTGCTCTCCCCACCTGCATTTTACAGTTCTATCTGTGCCTGCTTGATTGTATCAGCATAAAGATACTGATGTCTCCAGGATGCAGTTTTACATGCATTACTAGCATTGTTAATGTTGAGATCACTGATACTGTTGAAGACACAAAGGGTTTTTTTAGGATAAGATCATTGTCACACTTTTTGGCTTTGTAAGGCTGTAACCACCACATCATATATTGACATGAAATAAGATTAAAAAGCCCCACCACACATGAAACAGCAGCAGCCACAGATCTCCTGGAGATCTGCACTTCATCTTGAATGCAGCCAGTAGGCTAGATAGCACAGCATGGACGGGCTTCTTCTCAGATAAGTGGAATACTCAGGCAGATGTAGATCCTGAACACCAAGTATCAACCAGGTCAGAAATCTGGACAGCAAGCACTTGATTGCCAGCAGCACTACCAAGGTGAACAATATGTGTTTGAGTGTATGGTTTTCTTAAAAACTAAAATATAGATAGATATCAGATATGTAATACACGCAGCACTTATTTTTCCAGACAGAACTGGACATTTTGAGCAGGTGTAGGCCAGTAACCTTTCAGGGTACTGTTCTTCTTTCCCCTGTGTAACAGCCTGCACCCATGGCCAGAAATATGCAATTGCTGCTCTGCTAACTTTATAAATAGTTGTCCCTTCTTTTCTTCCCACCCCATCCTTGTTTTACACATCCTTCTCCTACTTTTAAATAGCCCTCTCCTCTTGGCTTCCACACTGTGACCCTGCCCATTACTGTTTGAAGGCCTTTCATCAACTCTTTCCTCCCCAAGCCCACACAACTGCCAGCAATGCTGAATTAAAAGCTGTGTAGTCCAGCAGAAGTAACAGAGAGTGGTATTCCACTGAATTTCTGCATCTCAGTTGATTGACTTTTAGCTGTAGCAGGAGCACAGGTCATTACTTAAAGACTCTAATATGGATTTCACTGCAAAATAAGCTTCACAGTCAAGTTTACCCTTCAGGCAACAGAAACCAGTCTTCAGTGAAAGATTTCTCCTGTTAGGAATTGAAAGAATCCGTATAGGATGTCTTTTCCTGGTTTGGGGACACCCATTGTAATTTCCCATGACTTATGCCATGTCACAGGCTTCTATTAACAGGATTTTTCCCTGCTGCTATAAAACTTTGTAAGAATTCGGTATTTTAGAGCTCTCTCAAATTTTGTTGAAATTTGTTGCCAATTTTGTAAGTTAACAGTGATGAAGCATATGCCCTGCCCCATTTCTAAATTAAATCAGATTACTACTGCCTTATAACTTTATTGGCAAAGTATTCTGTAGCTGTTTACACCTGCAAATTATTAATCTTAGCTTTCTCTTAACTCTGTATGGAAAAGCCTTTCTAAGAAGTCAGCCTTCTGCATTTCAGTGTTCTTAAAGTGTTTGCCATCCTTGTCAGAATTCCTTCACAAAGTTTTTTATACAAGTGATGTGCACATTATATATTGTGTATTGTTGAAGATCGATAAGGAGTTTAATGTGTCAACAGAAACACCAGACACAATATTTGCTTTTCGAGGCAAGATTGCCTTGAATCTCTTTGAAAAGCTTTAAAAGTCTTCCATCTTAGGTGACTGTTGGAAGACAAGGATCTCAATACGGGAAACTTTCAGATACTGTGAATAATCTGTTCTGCCTACACCTTGCATTTGGTTTGCCTTTGCTGAATTTGAACTTCATGTAATTTTTAGTGTAAGTTTTAATACTTGCTTATTTGTTTCTGTGACAAACTCTGAAATGCTGTTAAAAAGGATCAGCTGGGAACAGGTCCACACCAGGCTCCGCAGGAACTATCTTGACTACAGGAAATGCAAGTTCACACACTCCACACACTGTTTCAAGCCAGAAATTGCATATTGCTATTTTTAAAAAAAAAAAAAAAAGCTCCCATATTAACCTGGCAGCGTATTTACTCTTAACATGAATACTAACACACCCAGTCCTTACTGCAGCTGGAAGCGTTTATTGTAGAGCATTTACAATGTGTAAACATTCAGACAGAACATGTTTAGTGTCCTCCATCTTTGTGCACAGCATTATATTGTCACACACAGCTACCGGAACGTTGCTCACAAATGCAAGTTATCTAAAATATACTTCCCTTTGGTCTTCTATTCTGCTCCCAGAGTGAATAGACTAGAGAAAATAAGGCATCCCTTAAATGGTATCACAGGCAACAAAGTATATAAGTTGTCAAAACCAAACTTCTGTAAGATCTAACGTTTCAGACAGCCACTGACAGTACCAGGTTATTAGGTTGGTAAGAAACACTGAGTTTGTAAAGCATGGAGAGATATGTCTCTGAGAGTCTATGTGTTTGACTCAGTTCAGACTTCAGAGAAAGACTTCAAATAAAAAAATAGGTATTTTGAAAGTGCTTCTGAAAGACTTTTCCCTTAAAAACACAAGGTCAGCACACTGCAGAGCTGAAGACTGTAACTGATCCTACTCAGTGCTGGATATAGGAGAACATCCATTTCTCTACTCAACTCACCCCTCAAAATTCAGTTCTGGCCTGGCATGTCCCTGGCCTCTCTGAGGAGAGACTGACACTTACATCAAGTGGTACTTATCTTTATAGAAATATTTAGTTTATGCTCTCAGCCGTATTTGAACGGCTTGTGCATCAATTCACTGTAATGCCTCCAGAAACGTATTACACCAAATTTCATAGCTTTATTTTTACTGTGAGTGCAGATAAACAAAACATGCCGAGGGCTCTAGAGCGAGCTTTCATTCATTCAGTGACAGGTCAGCCATAGCTAAATAATGCCTCTAATGCTGAGGGCTAGGTTGGTGTTCAACGTTGCAGTTGTCCAGCACTATTTCTACTTACAGTTGAAAGTTACTGCATTCTAGTCTACTCGCATAATCTAGCCAAGTCTTTGAACACAGATGACAGCTTTTTAATGCCCTTTGCATTCTAGCACAATTTAACTGAGGAAACAAATAGAACAAAGCTAATAAAAAAACATACCCCCCAAACCCCTGAACTAGCAATGACAGTGCCTAAGCAGAAAGACTGTAAGTTTATCGTAAGCTTCTGCCACAGGCTTACACTGGTTTTTGAGAAAAGCAAATTCAGGCTTTAGGTGTAAGGTTTTCCACCAGCTCCACTGTCCAGTTCTTGCAATGTGTGTTGCTTTAAAACCTCCATGATACACTCCCACAATCCATTAAATATGTTCACTACAACCTGTACAGGAGAGGGGGAAAATTGTTAGGTGCATGTAGCAAAATAATAGTTTCATTGTACAAGGAGCCTTAAAAATGCATCTGAACTATTTAATTACTCATTTGACATAGGCTGATAAGGAATTGCTATGAATCACCATAACATACTTCGAAGAGAAAGAATTAAGAGAAGCCTTGTGTGGCCTGTGGGACCATATGACTGTTAAGGAGCAGAAGCCATAGAACTGATAATGCAACATCTTTCTCAAGATACTTATTTATTCCTACAGATCATTTGTAGGCTAATGGAGCAATGTCCAGTATTTAAAGCCAACTGCAAAGTTATCCCCTTGCCTAGCCTCTAGAGAAAGAAATGCACTATTTCCATTTTGTACACTAACTGGAACAAAAAAACAGTTTGTAACACTAACATGCATGGTATGAGGCATGCCTGTGGATCAAGACGTTTGGCACCAGAATAAAATCATAAAAGAATAGGTAATCCACTTACGAAACAAGGGTCTGAAGCATGGCACTTAAATGCCTACAGTTCCCTTCGAGTCCAGAGTGCTGCTGGCTGCCCAATACTCCTCAAGAACAAGTTGCCTGAGAGTAACCCAGTTTTCCTTTTCAAATCTTCTCCTAGAGTCCTGATCCCTGCCTCACAGTCGGCGGGAAAAGTATTACATCCCCACCCTGTCCTGCTTCATGTTGTGTTTCTTGCCTGGTTAAACTGAAAGATGTGTGCAGAAAAGGAAATATTAATCTGTCCGTGCCCTTTACCCAGGAGCAAGATGCCCTGCTCTGCTTCTTCCCACACTTTCATCTCCAGTAAGGCACTCGATCAGAACAGCAGCTCTCTGCTATGGACTGGCTCACAGCAGGCTCTGTTGTCTCCCTGCTCTGAAATACGGCCCAATCTCCTCCACCTCATATATCGTAAAAATATCCTATCTGGCATATAACAATACTGCACACCAGAAAAGCCCAATACCAAGCACCTGCATCTTTTTTAATCAAGCTGCAAGTATTTTAAGGTTCACCCACCAAGGGACCCTTCGGCAAGCAAGACTCAGAGTTGCTGCCAGCCAGGTTAAATATAAACCATGTAACCTGCAATCAGTATTCCTGAAGAAGTAAAACTACTGAAGCATTAAGCTCCCCGTAGTGGAATTAGGCAATGCTTTTCCAAGTGCTGTGATAGTATCTTAAACTGCATACTGTCTTAAAACCTCAGCAAGCTGATTTTCTCCGCTTCAGACCTGCTACCGTTTAAGTTAGGACACCTTACTGCACGAGGTATCATTAAAAAGTGGGTAAGCCAACACTGAATGTGTTCTGTAAGTCCTACCTATTGCAGTGAGTACAGGAAATGTTAATGTTTGCACATTACACATATGGGGTTCCCAAGTTACTGTATATATTATCTAACTTTCTGTACTATTTTTCATATGTTTCTTAATTTAAAAGTTACCTTGCGTCTCCTAAGGAGTTTGTTGGCTGCAGACATTTCACCAAAATGCTCCATTCTAAAGCTTAGAAATAGTTTGGGATTTTTGTGGGGGGTTTTTTCCCCTCCACCACCAAAAATTTAAGTACTCTTCATAAACATTATACCAGGGACATTTTGTGGTGTGTTGCTTTTGCATATACCTTAATGTATAATTTTAATATAGGTACATACCATTACAACAACAGAAGAGAGATGCAGAACTCTCCTCCTCTAACCTGTACATGCCAGAGTTTGGTAAGTCTTTGCACTGTGATATAAATCTCTGAAGTTCTGTCTCTGGAAATCCATCTTGCTGGTAGTGCTAAAAATTGATATTTAGTTAAACTCTTAACAAGGCTAAAACATATGATAACCCAAATCCTCCCCAGACCACTTTTCAGATATTGCTTAAGTCTGAAATTAGAAGATTCACAGAACCAAATATAAAATTACTGCTTTTTAGTAGCTATTTAGCTTCCATTGGAAGATAGCCTTGTAAGAAAACTGAAGTAGGGAGGAATTAAAAACCTCTACTCATCACTTTACATGCTCAAAAGTAGCCATTGTATTTATTCTTTAAATTGGCATGCACTGCAAGTCAAAATATTGAGGTAGATAAAGAGTCTTAATAGCACCAATCTTGCATTTTTATTCCAAATGAAGAGTCCATGCTTACCTTGACAGTTTCATACGTATCTGTAATAAGTGCAATGAAGAGACTCAGTACCATATAGATGAACAGACTGATGAAGGAGTAGAGGTAGATCCTACTGAATAACCAAACCAAGTAACTTTTCTGTTGCATTTTTGCAAAGGTGGCAAACATGTCATCTCCATTGATCAATGAAAAAAGGCATTCGGAAACCATGTTCAGAGAGCGAAACTAGAGAGGAGGGAAGAAAAGGACATCCATTGCCACTGTATTTGGATCCAAAGACTGTACATAACATGCAGAAGATACACAGCTGATGACTGGCTGCATCGGATCTCTCTGTACACTCAGGATACAACAAGGTGCAAACAGTAAAACATTTGAGGAATAAGCAAAGTTTGCCACCTCCTGTACACACACACATTCAATTCACATAAGCCAATTTCACTTTTAAAAGGGATAAGGATAAAGTCTGCAAAGCTTTAGTCTGACACTGGTATTCTGCAAGATGAGAATTATTTCTCAAAATGCCACCATGTGATTGGGAGTCACGACAGCTTCCACTTCTGACTCAGAGCTTTCATAACTCAAGGAAGGTCTGACTGAGTCATGGAAGCCAGACTTCTCAAACAGAGCAGTATCATGTTGAAGATGCACTATTTTATATTAAGGGAGGCCTTGAAATGAAAACTTAGAAGACAACAGTAGTAATCTCTCATTTGTTTGTTATCAATTTTGTTATTCAAATTGTCTATTTTCATGTCAAGTATATTACCTTCACATGGTATGGTCCCAGTACAATCCATCCACAGAAACAATAGCCCAGGTAGATCATAGCAGCACAACAGCAGAACCTCATTACGCTGGGTAATGCTGCTCGCAGTGTGAGGATGAGAAGCTGCACAAAGCAATGTTAGAATTCAACAGTTAGAATTCAAACAGGCATTTCTTCCAGTCCTCTTATAGCAACAAACAGAATAAATACCAACAGCACGAAGATCCCGGGAGATTCTTACATTATACTTCTGAAAGAAACCTAGGTAGCGAATGACTCCAAGCCACACAAGCATAGTGGATGTTCCCAGGAGTATGCTACAGACATCATAGCTGCTCAGGCTCTAAAAAAAAAGAAGAAAGAAAAAAAAAAAAGTATTATAACAACTGACAGGTTGTAATTTGTGACTCTCATTACTACAAAGATCTGTTAAGAAGCATTGTTTTCCTTTGCAATCTCTCCCATGAAAAATTAGTTTGGGGCAATACACATTAGAGAGTACAAGTCCCACCTAAGAGCAAGGGCACTTTCAAGTGTAACTCATTTCACATGCCTTTACATATGGCTGTTTGTAAAATAGATGCTGACAAGCTTCATTTGCAAGGCCATTTTCATCTGCACCTGCACTGCAGGTGCAGAGACAACCCCCCTGTATCTGGCTCACTAAGACCTGCAAAACATTTTTATACTGCCTCCAGACCTGTGGCAACTGCTTCTGGAATCTGCATCCACAGATTCTCTGGAGCAGCTTGGGAATCCCTCCACTGGATCCCAGCGGACAGGGTAGGCATGGCTTTAGAACCACAGAGCAAAGAAGGTTCTTCCAGTACATAGGCAAAGCAGTTTTTAAAAAATAGCATGACTTGCCAGCAGAGCTCAGATAAATACTAAGGAGGATCTTGTTAGGTAGCTGGGAACTGAGAGGTGTACAAAGTTATCAAGAAGACTAATTAGCTTCTAATTAATTCTAAACAGAACTTCATTTATATTTTATTGGCACTGCACTGTTTTTTTTCCACCTATACATATTGGCCTGCTTTCCACCAAGTTAGCATATACCTTATTCCCTGAATTGCAGCTCTACTCTGAAATGGACCGTGACAGATTATGTGAATAAGAGGTTTTCACTATTTTCTGTTTTCATTCCTCTAAGAGTTGGCTAATCTTTTACAGTGGCATGATTATTTTACAGCTTAACAAAAAACAAATTTAGGCTACTGTAATGTGAACTTGTTATTCAGCCACTAACTTTCACACAGTAACATGGAGTAAGATCTGGTTATTGTGGTCCACAAGGCTTGCAAAATGAAGTGCCTGTAAGGAACAGTTTTAGTATAAGAGTCTCTTAGAAAAGAAACATATCTAAGCAGATGTACTTTTATATCTATATACATATATATATATATATAGGATACAGGCATCCCAAATGCAAGATCTTACTCTAACCTTGTTCTCATCTTCTTCCCAAAGCAGAATGGAATTATCTCTTATCTTAGCCAGCTTCCTCATAGCTTCTTTCTACTCCTAAGAACTAAGTTTATAGCTCCTAAGGTAAGATAAGGCAATTCGTACAGAGCATTTATGATAGTGGAGCTGTCATCAGATGGATTTCAGACCTTTCATCACTACTGTCCAAAGTCTGTTGTGTTGCAATGTCACACTTCAAAGTCTGCTACAAATTTGGTGAACAATATTATGTGAATATTAGAGTGTTTCGAGACGTTTCGAGACAGCATATTGTAGTAATTTTTCTTCCCTAATTCTAGCTGCACATAAAACGTTTTTAAAGGATTTTTTTTCTATAGCAAATTTATTTTAGAAATTGAAGGCCTAGAACCTGGTTGTGGCTAACTGTTATGTACATGCTGGAAACCAGAAGCTGGGAAGGCAGCAAAATTATGTTTAAGGAAAGAGTCTTTGCTAGTTAAACACTTGTTAAACAGAGAACAGAAAGTTAAATGCTAATTTTTAAAGAATCAATCGAATAAGCAAATATAAGTAGTCCTAAATGGAGAAGAGAGGAAGCCACAGTCTTAAACTTCATAGATGAAGCTCATTTTATTCCTTGGAGTCACAAAGAAGAAAAGATAACTAGAACTATAATATCTAGTGATATTTGTAGTTTTTAAATATCACAACTGGAAACACATCTCAGTTATTATTCCAGAGGACAAGACAGTTTTAAAATTTCATGCCACCCAGAACGAAGTACAGCCAGCCTAAAGTCCTATGAGAGATTTAAACCTAGCTGGGACAGAAACAATCAGTTTTGCTTCCACCTGACAGTGTAAAAAGCTTACTTTGGCTTGTATCTCCATCTTTAGAGTTGATCCAACAATAGTTAAGACATCGCTAACCATAATAAGGATGTACCATCCATTGACAAATTCCATCTGATCACTGAAAGATACTTCTTTCTTATAATAATATAAGAAAAAGCTTACAAATTCCTAGGGGAAAGGAGAAAAGAAAAAAGTTAATCAGACTTACATAAGACATGAAGACTTTCCAAGGAAAGAGTTATACCCACCCTTTGGAGCCGAATTCCTTTAACGACTGATCGTGTGCAAAGGATCAGTGAGGCCAGACAAGTCAATATAACAAAAGCATCAAAGATCATCATGTAGTGAGTGTTCTTCTGTACTGGAAGAAGAAAACCATACATGTTTATAATCAGATGCATTTCATTTTGTTGACTATCTTGATTATTGAAGAATCAAGTTCTGATGTTAACTATGTTTATACAACTGAATTAAGAAAAATCTTAGCATTTTTCCCACAGAAGTTTATCTGACATAATTTCATGAGAGACACAAGTGCATCTGCACTACAGATACCACTTCAGTTAATTTAGGAAGGTTGATACCACATCAGAAATATACCAGAGCATGAGTGCTTCTTACAGGTCTGCAGAATGAGAGGTGGGAGTTGTCCATTTTACAAGCACTGGCATGGCTGTATCTTCTCTTCCAGACTAGTATTTGACTACCAGATGGGTTTTCTGTACCATCAGCTAGCCAAGATGAACATTGAGCTAAACATGAGTTCTCCATCTCTTATGTTACTAAAATTCACATTCTTGATTAACTAAGGTCAAATTTTGCACAAAATCTACCACTAGACCTCTTTTTGTTTTTTATAGTTATCAGACAGCTGAAACTAGATGAGACAGTATAAGGATTAGATTTTTAATGCTGAAAGAGTGATTGAGAAAAAAAATGAAACAAATTAATGCCAAATTTGCAATAAGATGCAGAAGTTCTCCAAACAAGATACTGATGTTCTCGTTGACTTCACAAACTGCACTAGTCAGAAAAAGCCTATCTACTTCTTGCTTATACCAAAGTCACTAACACATGTACTGTTGCCATTTAAGTTGGTTTTGCAGTGTAGTCCAGAACAGCAACAACTTGTTATTGTCCAGTTGTAATCACTATCTTGGTATTTTTCATTGGCTTTCAGAAAATAACACAGAGTACTCCAGGAGATGATTTTGAAAACTGTTATAGTGGCAATCTACATATATATATATCAAATGTGAATTACTACAGAAGCCTGGTATGAAAACCTTCCTGTACTACTTGCATTAGCACTCTCTTAGAGGTAGGGTGCCATCTGGTGTGTATTTATAATGTGGCAGCTAACAAAGCTAGATAAGTGTGTTTAGTGGAACGTGTTTGCATAGTGGTGTGTTTTGTAATCTGTGATGCATTTTATTAAATTCCACCAAATCAATTCCAATCTGATTCTTTAAAAAATCCCTTCTCTTCTTTCACTACCAGCTCTTCATTTCTTAATATAGGCATAGCAAAGGGGAGAGTGGCAAAGTAGAAACAGACCTGATTCATCCTGTTACTTACTTCAGCAAAAAATTAAAAAATAAGTGGAATTCAGTGTCCTGGAAGGCTTCTGACTTTCAAAGAGATTATTTTCTCTAATCAAAAAAGATCTCAGACGTTTTGACCAAACCCGATAGCTGCCAACAAAGGTTGCTCTTTTGAGTAACTATTTAAAATAGATTATTTAACCATACTGTGCATTTCAGTTACCCCCAAATACACGCCAAACATTTAAGCAGCAGTAAGAAGTGCTTCTAGCCATTCCACTCTAGCAAGCCTTAGCAACAGCGCTTCCTTATCTTTCCTGGTGCTAAGTCCTGAAATAAGAGTGAATCAGTTTCAAATTTCCAGCCCTATCATGTATCCTTCTGTTGCCTGGTGCTAGAAGAACAGTTCACAGCCCCACCTTAAGCAACGAGCAGCTGAAGTTCAGTAGCCAAAGCTAGATGGTTGCAGAGTGAGATGTGGAAAAATTTTGGTTTGACAGTATCAGTGGTGCAACATTTGAAGACTGCTAAGGAAAGTAATGGTGTGCCTGGGTTCCTGGGATTTCAGATCAGAGGTTGAAGAACAACAATTCCTTAAAAAATGAGGATTTAGAAAAAGGATAACAAACATTGTGCTAGTGCAGCAAAAGATTAGCATGAAGATTTGAATGCATTTATGTCACTTACTTGATCCAGAAACGTGCCAGTCTTTACATTCTCTGATCGATATATCATTGTCTAGACTTATTTTAATTCTTCCACTATGTGCTTTATTATCAAACACTATCTGCATTAACAACAACAAAAAAAAAGTGCATGTCTTTTAACCTATTATATATGTAGCATACTGTATTGCTAAGCTTGCATAACAATTCAGAGTAATTCTCCTAGGGGGGAAATTATAAGACATGTTTAAGCTTAAAGTAATTCTAGTTTATTCAAATAAATGTTGTCAAAGTGAAAGACAAATCTGCTGAACCATGTATTTGCCACAAATTGCTTGAACAACTAGATACTAGGTGAAATTCTTTTAATCATTCCTCTATGATCTGAAAACAACCTTTCCTAGAAGCATCTCTCTAAAGAAGAGGTTTATGCTTTGTTATACTTCAGATGGATTAGAGCACAAGAGGCTGTAAACCAAGCAAGTGCTTCAGGACCACATTACAAGCACTCAAAGCTTAGCCTCTCACAGTCACAAGTGGTGGTTACTTACAGGGTACACTAAGCCATGACAGAGTAATCCAGACACTGCTGAGGACCAGTCAGTGGTGCCCAACACTCTTCAGAAAACATCTGCACTGACTGTGAGTGGCAAACCATCAAGAATGAGTCCTCGTTTTGAACAGAAAGACATGCAGCAGGCTTCCACCTACCGTCAAAGTGAAATCGTAACAGTCAGGGAGCTCGTGGTGACGAACAGTCTGGAGGTTGATTGCCTTCAGATTGAACATGAGCTGCACGGTCACCAGTCTGGAATACAGCTTTGTTAGTTTTTCACAGGGAAAAATCATGAATACCCCAATACAGGAGGTGCTGATTCCTCCTCACCTGTGGAAATCCAGAGTGAAATTCAGATTGTGCTTTCCCGCAGTTGTGTTGTCTAACGGCGTCATTGGCTCAATGTACAAGCAGTCTGCAATGGATAAGTACTCACAACAATATCTCATGGGTTATCACGCTCTTTAACTGTAATCTGCCTTTCCCAGTACTGAGTCTGGAAAGAGCTGTTGACTACACCCACCCAGCAAGATAGCACGCTTAAGTGAGGAGTGATTTGGGAAGCTAGCTGACAAATATATTGGCTTCCCTGAACCAGCCAAGTTATTCATCTTGAATTCATAAGGAAGGCTCCTGAAATTAGCCCAAAACACTTGTATTAGATAGGCATCAGTGCTAATGGCTCATCGCTTGTTTGTGGCAGTAGACAGAAAGGACTGTTACCTTGGAGGTGGTTACACAGTAGTTTTCTTGCCGGTTTTGGCTGGTAGTAAGTTCAATATAGACCATTTCACAGGACTATACAATACTGGATGTTTATAAGAATTCATCATAAACGTAATTCATCATAAATGTAGGGTCTCTCCTCCCATAGTACTGATACAATAGATTAGATTCATTACCAGTCACAATCTCTGGGTCTATATCAAAGGTGTCATTTCCAGGACAGATGGTTCCCCGCTTGTAGAACTGCTGACACACAGCCAGAGCTGTCTCCTCTGCTCCCCTCCTCTCATAAGCATGGTTTCCAACAGAAATGTTGGGCAGCTGTAAGTACTAAAGTTCATAATAAACAGACAAACCAACTTAAATGGCACCAAAACTGTTAGTCTTGGAAAAAAAATAAACCACACAGAAGTGCTTGGACCTGTGCCATAACCTATCTTTTGTATTTAAAAGGTCACCTAAAGAACTCAGAAACCGACACCACACTACAGCTGAGTCCTCAAATACTTTAAGGTATTTGACAAAAACAGTTAAGTGCTGGAATCTAAATACCTTTTTGCTTATTACTTTTTTCTCTTTACAGTTCTTACTAGAAAGCCTAATTTGTTATTTGTAAAGCACTCTGGCTCAAATCCAAGGCCTGCATTTAGTGCAGAATTAGTATAATGATTAGCTTTAATGATCTCACCCCAAGTACAACACTCTGGCAATGACAGAAAACCTGAACAAGTCAACATTCTAGTCTTAAGCAACTGGCACAGAAATTCAATTTCAGACACTATCAGTGAAGGTGGAAGAAGAAAAGGTACTCAGGTAAAGAGCATATGTATTGTATACATTGCAGTGATAGTCCTTACCTGGTTTATTGCAAAGAATATCTGGTCATAGACATCTGTTTGTGTGTATACAGCATAGGTATCATCCATTCTGTCCATGTATCCTTTCAAGAAGAGATGTTTGAATGCAACAGTGTTCTCTTCTTTGAAGGCAACCACCATCTGATTGCTCAATCCAAAAACCACCAGCTGAAAAAGACATTTATATTTCCTGGTCAAAGACAAAATTGGCTTCTGGATTAACATATGAATCCTGTCCTATAAACAGCCACTCTTTCACCACACTGGTAGACACAGCACTTAATATGCAGGCTACTCCATTTCACAGCTGGTGAAAAGAAAGTTTGACTTTAGGAAAAAAACGGGTTTCAAGAATGTTCCTTTAACATGTTTACCAGCATCTTGGCCAAGGACTCACATTTTTACAAAGAAAAGGATACCATCTCAAATTCAAGCTACCCATATATTGTTACATGTGCTTTGTTAGTTCAGCCTGACATTAATATGACTTGCCTTGGGGAATGTCAGTGTACCTCAGCCAAAAAGGCAGGACAGGACTTAACCAGACCCCACTTTGGAGTCCTTACTCCAGTACAGAAAAGGCAAATTGAGGACAACTCAGAAAAACAAACATTCCTCCCTCAGGTTTGGGTGAAAGGTGCTTTGGGAATAACTGATCAAAACTGTGCTTGTAACAGGGTAACCCCTGAAGCTGTTGAAAAATATATTGCAACTGTTCATGAAAAGTTAGCATAAAGCCCTGCTAGCTACTATCCGGGCTGGAAAGGGTTTCTAGAAGAATGGGATGTATTGTTTGTGGGAGCTCACAATTCTCTTCAGTGACTATTGTTTCAAATCTAGTGTCAGGAGTATGTGAAGAAACTCATCAGAGATAAGTCTGAATCAGTAGCCTACTGATTAGTCTTATGGCCACAATGCAAACTGGTTATGTAGGTTTTGGTAAGAATAAATCAGTTACAGAGATACTAAAATGCTCTGTGGGCAAGCTCAGGGTGCTAGGCACACAGGAATACACCAGCAGATCAACAGTGCTAAGACTGAATTACCTCCTGGCAGATTTGCTCTGAAAAGGCTAAATCAGCATTAGTTTCTTTCTTATTTAGGTTCTTCTACCATCAAATTTTAATGGCAAAATGGGACAGATGACAATCAGAGGATGATGATACATTTCAAACTGAATCGGTAAGTAAGAGATACAAACATACTGCCAGACATATAGCAAAGTAATTATTATTCCTGCAGTTTGTCCCATCATTCATGCAACCGTGGAAAACATTCTTCTCCATACTTGTATTGACATAGCAGTGACACCACCGTAAATGTAAATCACGTGGGCAACTCTGAAGGATCATCATCTGAGGCATTAGAAAGATTTCATGAAAGACCTTCTTCCTCCTTGACCACAGAATTCTGAGACAAACAGTTGCGTTTTAGGCAGCAGATAAATGTCTTATATTAATTCTATGGTGCAAGGCTGGGCTAGAGGAAGAGTGGGGCAAAATTTCTGCTTTTTCCAGTACAAGAGTTTGTATACCATAATGCAAGGCATACGCAAACATCATGAAAAAGCTACCAATTTCTTATCACTGTCATACTGAAACACAAGCAACTGTTCCTTCCCTCAAACATAAACACACTCAGAGTGAAGTAGGTATTGGGGGGAACTAATGTGTAAGGATGCCATCCTTTAGGGAAAGAAAAAAAAAATGAAAGAAAAAAAGTAAAGTAGAGCCCTTAAACATGGTTTCTTTCATCTCCTCTCTTAGGAAAGCTGTCTTTCAGTTAATAGTTTTAGAAGAAAATTGTGCCATCTGAGATCTAAGCTACATATAGGCAAGTAAGATAGTTTGTCTCCCTGTCCCTATCTCTGCACTACACCAAGAATAGCATTTCTCACCTACACTCCTTACTTGAATTCCCATGGGTGAAGAAGAGTCCCTGCTTCCCTAGTTACTCACCTGAATAGTAACCATTGCTATTTTGAGTAGTTGAATCCCAAGTTTCCAAGGTTTCCTGCCCCGGGCCCAGAATTTCTCACATGGGTTCATGAAGAAGAATTTTAACTTCCTTCTAAGCTGGTCTTCCAAAAGCCCATCCTGTGATACTGACAGGTGCCGTTTGTAGATGCAAAGATTTTCATCATCATGAGCAGTGCAGCTGCTTACAGCCACATCAGGATTTTCCATTTCTGAAATGAAAAGAAGTACATGTCAGTTGGAAAACGTGCAAGCATGAATACAGTATCATCAGATCAGTCTGCACTGACAACCTGGACCCCAAAGATGTTTATCTTCTGTGAAAGACACTTGCACATTACACTAAATTTAAGATCTTGCTCATACTATTGCACATGTTCTGCAGAATCCAAAGAAAACTCTGGGCAAACTCTTAAATTTGCAGATAGGCTGTCAGGACATTTATTTAATAGTAGAATTTCTGTCCCTTTGGAATTATGGAGTCACTTGTTGTAAACTTCTTCCTCCCTCACTTGCCAACAATATCATATATACAAGACATCCTGACTCATTTCCTTCTCTGTCCAGAAGAGTACCAAAAGCCTCTCATGAGCATTTACCCTTCTGGAAAACTTACCTACTTCTGTAGCTAGTATTTCCTTTGCTGTCATGTCAGTCTGCTGTCCAGTCCTTGAAAAAAATTGGAATTTTCAAGACAGCATTTTTCTTAGACATCAGTAATATCACTTGCTCTTGAAAATGGTGACCCAGCATACCAAATTGCAACTCAGATAAATTACCTGAGTGCATTAACTTGTCATTTAGCAAGATTATATCTATTTCCACAGCCATAAAAGACTGAATGCAAACCAATGGTGATCGTGAACCAGACAAAAAAAACAAAAGGTAATTGTATTCAAGCATCATGATTAGTCAAAGAGGCTCACATTTCAAACGAGTATGAGGGGAAAGATTAGAAGAGAACTTTATAAACACAACTTGAGACATTACTCTCTATAGTATTCAAAATGTTTAAATGTTAATCTGTTACTAACTTCTTTGACTCCCAAATATTTTATAAATGTTTTATAAAGTACTTAAGAGGTATCCAGGAATATTTATTTCAGATAAAAGATTGTTGACATTAAGAACTAAGGAGACAGCCTAGGTTGTGAATAAATTTAAAGATGTGCCATATTAGACGAATTATTTTTAATTTGCACAAGATAAGTTTCTTATATAACTCAAAAAGTTCATCACCAAGATTAATTTTTAAAAATGCATAGATCACATCCACTCTCCTCAAGCGGCCATTGCACACATCAGAACACAAGTCTGTTTTCAGATACGATACAAGACCTTCAGTTTCCCCATCTGTCAGAGAGGGCAAGAAAAGTTTTGAATCAGCAGTTTAACAACTGAGAACAGACCCATAAATAGGCTTTAAAAAAATCAGCTCCTGTTTTATCAGGTCTCCATTGTCCTGCGGGATACAGTATGCCACAGTTTCTACTCATCTTTCTTACAACTGATCAATCATTTCTAAGTTAAGCCCTACTCTGATGCTGCAATATTCCTCTCAGTGTATGTGCTTGATTTAAAAAAAAAAAAAAAAATATATACCAAGTGAATTTTCTTTTCAATTAGCAAAACAATCTTATTTCAATCTAGTTCTCCTGTCCACATTAGTCTTATTTGAATAAACACTAAAGAAACATTCTGTGGATTTCCTTTCCAAGTTGCCATACAGTGGTTTCAATCTCTGTAAAATTAAAACCAAAATCTGACCTCTTCCATGGAGGTCGATAACTGGCCACCTCGCAGAGCACTGACCAACAAAGTAGAGCTCCACACAAACACCACGCTCAGGCTGCAGACATGCAAGCAAGATTTTTTGAAAGTGTTATATGATCCCAAACATCCACCAGAGATGCCAGGGCCTGATCTGCAGAATGCCCAAAGCTCTTGGCTGGAGCTGCAGGGCTGGAGGATGCTTAATACCTTTGAAAATGAGGACATTGCTTTACCTTGTCTCACACGCACTGAATTACTCTCTGAGGGCACCCGTCTTTCACCATTTAACACACAGGGCTATAGCCTGCAAGGTAACTGAAGTCGGGAACAATGCAGGACAGCTGTATCATCCCAGCTGAGCTCATTACCTGAAAGCCCCCCCACATCCCAGTCTAACACAGAGGCATTAATTTTGTAGAGTCGCTAAAAAGCCTAAGAGGTTTCCAACTTGACAGGCACGTGGCCTGGTCAAACCCCGAAGGCCTGGCTTGCTGTGCTTTTACAACACAGACCTGCACCAGTCAGAAAATCCTTGTTACAACTCTACCAGTGGCCTAACAGCTGTACAAACTACCCAACAGCAGCAAATCCAACTTACCTGAGCTTCCATTCCAATCAGTGTGGGAATAAATCAGGCTTGGTATGGGAATTAAGTAATTTTTGTTTAATTCAACTTGCAGCTCAGACTTTTTTCTTCTCTATTTCATTTTTCTACCCACATCACATACACCAAGAGCCTAGTTCTTAGTCCCTGTTCCAGTCAAACTAGGTCCAACTGAGTCTAACACTCAATTTTAGCAGGTGCTCAGTCAGTTCCACAAGTCAACA